CACTTTTGCACATTATTTAACTGTACATTTTTTATCTTTAATATATATATATATATATATTGTTGTTTTGTTATCTGGAGTTAAATAATTTCTCTCTGGGATTATTAAAGTATTTCTGATTCTGATAAAATGTGAACAGCAGCTAAAGTTTTGGATTAGTATTATTGGATTAGAGTAGTATTAGAGTAGAGATTTGGAAGTATTTATAAAGTATTTTTTGTTCTCAGGTAATATCTTTAGTCAGTAAAATTACTTTTATGATGTAAGACCTTTTATGATTTAAAGTTATATGTGGCACATGTGGAGAAACAAATTTCTGACAAGCAATGGGATGTATTTAGTGTCTACTATTACATAAGCAAGTATAGACATTTTCAACTACTGCCTTTTCATTATAGGCAAAGACACACCTCATATTAGCTACCCTGCAGTACTTTACCTTCAAACCAATGACATGTGTGTTGTACATGGCAGTATTCTAATACTGAAGACTCAACCCCCAACCTATAAGCTTCATGGTCTCCTAATCCAACCAGCCAACGTGCTGTCTACTTATAGGTGACTGGTATTTATATATTTAACACTGTCCTTGTTGCCCTGAACGATGCTGAGAAGGAATGAACAGTAGAGGGGGTGGTAGGGCTCTGCTCTCTGACTACAGCTCAACTCTTGGCCTCTGAGCCTCCCAACATACTTAATGATGCATGAAGCACAGAGGGCCTTATCCAAGCTGAGACATGTATTTGCTTCTAATTGGCCACAGGTAAGGCGTCCAGCACTCATTTGGTTTGGTGTCAGAGCCTGCTGGGTGAGGAAAGGGCTTATGTTTGTGTTGGTAACTGGGTCTCAGGCTAATGCTTGTGTGTGCATAAAGTTGTTGCTGGGTAATGAGATGATATCTCTAGAAAATAAACTCAAGAATGAATAAATAACACATGACTGATCCCCAATGTAATTTTTCATTACTCTAACACTGTTTTGAATGTGTGTTTTTATGCCCTTACCTCGTGGATCTTACTCAAGCAGTCACTAAGTATGTTTTTATATGTAAACTGTACTAAACCAAGGTAAACATGTTGTCCCTTATGACTTATGAGGGCATCTCTGGGCTGACTGGTGACAATATGCATCATAATTTCGAGCTTCAACAAAACTTAACTGATGATGTAGTGGCTGTGGCCTTTCAAGGTTTAAAACTATGACCTTTACAATGGTGTCTGAGACATCAAGTTTGTGTTAAAAAGCCTGACCTTTAATTACAGTATAGCACCCCCATTAAAATTAAATCAGTGGATTTACACACGGACACAGTGTGAATATACATCATCCCCCCTGACTTTAGTTAAAGTTGCAAGGATGTTGTGTTTCATTTCCTCTTACCCATGCTCCAGTGAAGAGATAATGCCTCCTCCTGCTCCCTTGTTCTTTCCTCGCATTAACATGTTCTTCATTTTCATCTCAGTGATGGAGGGCAGCAGGAGTGGTACACCTATGCAGAACAGAGCCAGCTGGGGAGGCATAAGAGCCCCAGAGGCCGACTTCTTTTTCTGACCGTGGAGGAACTTCAGCCGACCCTGGAACTGCATAGTCTAGGGGAGAGAAGAAGAATTTACTGGTTTGAACATGTTCAATGGAATATAGCCAATGCTCATTCACACATAGATTAATATAGAGCAGAATTAGCAGCAGTGTCATTTCATGTCCCTTGAGAGTTAATACTTGTCTTCTTTTGCGCTTTTTATTGTAATTTGATTCCAGGAATCATTAGAAAGTGTCAGCCTTTGCTAAGCTAGCAGCTCTTTGATGCTTAACTTACAATAGCTAAATGCTAACATCACCATGCACACACAGTTATTACATTCACAGTTACAGTTACAGTGCTAACATGCTAAGGTTTAGCAGGTAATTTACCTGTTAAGCAGGTAATTGTAGGTACTTTACCAGGTTCGGCATCTTAGTTTAGCCTGCTAACATGCTAAAATTTAATAACTGGCACAAACACAAAGCAGAGTTGAGATTCATGAGAATTTTATTAGTTGTTTTGATATTTCAGGCTGGACCAAAGTGGTGGAGCGACTGACTGACCTTGACATTCACAAAGCCACGTCGCTACTGTTGCTAGCACGTGTGCTCAATAAAGCTAATTTAATTTCACTCTTAACAAGGAGGGAAGATTCTCTGGCCTTTTTATTTGGTAGCAGAATGTGTATTGTGCATTATATTACAATTTGTGTGTCGCTTCTGCGATGTTGACTGATGAGGAAAGCATCTTAGCAATATTTGCTCACTACTTGGCTACAAGTGCTTCCAGTATATGTCAGAAAATTGCCATCTAGAATTTCTGTTGTGCAACCAAAGCGGGCATGGTGACAATGAACTCCATTGACCCTGAAGAAATGGTCCAAACCCATATTCTTGTTGCTCTGTCATCAGGGCTTCTAGCTTTTCCATTGCTGTTTTCCAAACCACTCTAGTCACAGCCATGAGGGATGAACCAGGCTCCTATTCTGCTGCTATGTCCAGGCACCCAATTACCTCATAATGCCTTGCAATACAACTATAAATAACTGTACACACTACAATTAAAAATGAAGTTTTGCTGTACCAAAGGGGTCATAATACGTTTTATAGGCCTGGGTCTTCTCCCAGAAAGTGGGCAACATTTACTCCATGCTCAATGCAATATTCTGCACTTTTTATTTTTGCGTAAACTAAAGTTACTGTTCAGTTTAGCTGGCAGTTTGGCTCAGACCACTCACCAAGAATCCAGAGGTGCTGTCCAAGAGGCATCGGACTCGGGCAATGAAACATCTGTTGAGAAAGCAGGAGAGCTCAGGAGAAACTCCCCCGGCCTCCGGAGAATGGAACAGGCTACTCACGACAAAGTCCTCACCTGAGATGTAATAGAGAAAGGAGATGGAGGAGAAGAAAAAATATTTAGTTTGAACTGCAATTTGCGTGGAAAATACAGTATATATATTCCAAAATGATACTGGCATTTAGAAAAGTGGATCTACTCTTACAACTGGAGGTACAAAAAGAAATATCAGTTTTCCAAACACACTATTTACTGAATATGGATATACTGTTAACTGATATGTTGTGATTTGAAGGTCTGGTTTGAATGAGCAGGAATTTAGGTGTATCAGCTTTCTTTTTTTTTTACATTTACCTGAGGTTTCTGGCAGTCACTTTACTGATGACATACCGCAGATCTACCTCAAAAATAACCAGCAGAACTTCAAAATCAAAATGGGATTAAAACCTTTAACGATAAAAGTCTGTCATCACCATATCCACATGAACTTTTAACCAAACAGTTTGCTCATGGGAACTGGTTCCTCCCTTCTTAGTCAGCTATACCCACCAGTCCCTGAAGCTAGCTGGTTGTCCTGGTGTGCTGATGTCCCCTGGTGCTGTGGAGGACACATGGCCCAGTGGAGCTGTCGTCTGAACTCCTGACGGTCGTCTATGTGGATGTAGTCAAACACATTCTGGTGCATCACGTCAGTCTGTGGGAAAAATGTTGTGGATTTTATTACGTTTGTTGAGGAGGTTTATTAAAGTTCATCCAAATTATATTTTGAACATAGCAGCACTCAACTATTCACTATGTTAAAATATAGTGGAATAATTGCGTCCTGAGGAGAGAATGACTGAATCTCCCTCTGTGTCTCTTGTAATCCAAGATTCTGTTCTTTGCTTTGGTTGCCGGTCCGGCAGCACGTGTATGTTCGTGCGTGTGTGCATGTTGGTTTTGGGGAAAGCAACTGAAGCGGTATTTTCTTTTCTCATCTAATGTGGTGAACTAAGGATTTATTTTGACCAAAGTAGAGTTGGTGATTGTTGGAAGACTGGAAAGACTAACAAAGACGGTTTTGGTGAGTTTTATTTTGTGTCTGTCGAGTTTGAACAAAGAAAATTCCCTTTGTTTTGGTCTGAGACGCTGGTGCTCTAGTGTGACATCTAGTGGCAGTGAATGTCATTGATGTGTAATTAGCACCAACTACAAAAGGGTACTGAGGTAAAATAAAAAGTGATATAAAACTGAATTTAGTGTGCTGTGTATCTACCTGGATGATTTCCAGTGTCTTCTGGCGATTATACAGCAGAGGTAAAATTTCTTGGTATGCTACACATACTTTGGTGCCTTGTAATTCTCTCAGTAGACCTTGCACAGCAAAACGCCCGTATTCACGGTCCCCTCGCACCAGTCCCACCCAAGTCCAGTTGAAGCGTACCAGCAGCTGAGCAATGGCTTTTACCTGGGTTCAACAGAAAAACATAAAAAGGAAGAAAATTCACTGACATCATTAAAATATGATGTATTTCCTGTACGGTAAATTTCAATTGATTTTGACCAGAAATATGAATACTTCAAATAAAAAGTATATAAGTAAAAATATTTTTGCTACAGCATTGAAAAATTATTAAGCCCTTTTAAATCTGAGGCCAAACTCTCACCTGATAGTCATCATTAGGGATCACTCTGAAGAAGGTCGGATATTTGATTTTATCAGAGAGACATGCACATGTAGAAAAGTAACTGATCTGTGTAAAGAAGAAGAAGCAGAGTAGAGTTACAGTACAAAAAAAACAGTACAATGCAGATTCATTTGGGGTGATAACAGAAGAGAAGAGTCATCATTACCATTGGGATTCTAAATGGCTGCAGAATTCTTGACAACACGATGGACTGAGAAGAACCAGATTCCCCAATTACAGCGAGGAGCGAAGAGGCACCGCTACACATAGGAGAGTCATCCTCACTCAGCCCATTCAGCAACGCCAGAGCAGCCCTCTGGCCGGTCAGTGGATATGAACATGAATCAAAGATTTTGTATCCAAGGGTGTAATTGGGCAATAGCTCTGTACTCTGGTTTATCTCCTCTACTGCCAGCCTCATAGTCTGAGCATAGCGGAAAGCCCTGGGATCAAAACTGTAGCCAAGAAGACACAAATACACACACATTGAACAGCAAGTATGGAGAAAAGGTCAAATTAAATTCAGTTTGGGGCTGCAGTAGTTCAGTACGTTGGGACTTGACCTGAGAACTTGTGGGTGGCTGGTTCAAGTCCAGAAAAGGCCACAGAGTGTTGACTGGTAACTGGAAAGGTGCCAGTTCACCTTTTGGGCACTACACCTGACCAAGGCACCAAATCCCTAACTGCTGGGGGAGCTGGGGGGTGGCGTCATGAGACAGCCCCATCACTATAACGTCTCTCCCCTCAATTGTATATGTGTTCATGTCTGTATTTTGGGCATACATGTGTGTAAACTGTATAATAGAGTGAAAAAATCTCCCCCATGGGAATTCATAAAGTAATTATTCTAAAGCAGATATGATGTTTTGATTTGAAGTTAGTCTAAATTGCATTTCTGCATACACACACACTGAGCTTGGTCCATTCTCATGCTTTTTTTAATATGTTACCAAGATATGTCTTTGGTAATGCTTTATTTTACAGATCTGTAATTACCTTCCAATATGTTATGTTGAAAGACCAATGTAATAGATACATACACTTACAATTGTTTATTCCAATTTGTTGCTTGTGTAACCCTATTCCTATCCAAACATGAAACTTCTTGGAAATAGCTTTCAAATGCATGAGGAATTATAAACCCATATAATACATTATTACCATTTTGACATCAATATTTTACTCAAGCTGCATTTTAGTTCAAGACATCACTGTGTATAAGATTGTTTTCTTACATATAGGCTTAATATGTTATAAGTATGTATTCTAAAATCGGACCTGGTACATATAAATTATGCTGTGTAAATTTGTTCTACAAAATTAGATGTGTTTAGCTGGAAACAATTAAATCCTCTAGGATTTCCAACACACATGTATGAAACTCACCCATTGCACCTCACTGGCGGTGGTCTGTAGGTGCACTGGAGGTCTGGCATCTCCTGGTTATAGTGAATGGGGAAGATCCCCCCAATAACATAGTCACCCTTGGCCACAAAGGCTGGCTGAAAGCTGTTTTGAAGTGTGCATACTTTGGCTGCAGATGGAGTTGGAGAGCTAAAGCTAGAAATTGGATTATGCGTTATAGTGAGGACAGAGACAGAGTAAAGTAATGGAAATAAGACAAGTAGAGTCATATTGTTAGACATCCCCAAAAAGAGAAAGAGAGAGAGAGAGAGAGGGCAAGGAATTAGGCATATTATATACAGTATGTGACCTTCTCATTCTTGCGTCATCAAGACATTGAGATATTGGAGCTCAGCAGCCCCGCCTAACTGGGCAAATGCGGACTGAATGATGAATAGTAAATAATGTAAGATAACAATGCGAGCACACTTTATTTTACGAGCCAGCCGTAAATCGGTAATCATATATG